TTTTTGCCAATGCCTTCAATGCAGCTCGAGCTTCTTCCCTCCTCACTAATGGCTCTGTATCATATACTACTTCCTGAAATGTTTCAGTGTCTACCAGTTCTTTTTCATACAGTGACTCAGTGTTCTTTCTACCTTCTCTCGATGTACCTTGAATCATTCAAGATTTTTCCATAGTGTGTCTCAAAAGCTTGAATTTCTTTTTCAGTTCTTTCAGTTTGAGAAATGCCAAGCAAGCTCTTCCTTTCTTTTTATTCTCCAATTATAGCTCTTCACACATCTCATTATAACACTTTGCTTTGTCGTCTTGTGCTGCCCTTGAAAGTCTGCTCACCTCTTACCTTGGCATCTCTTCCCTTTGCTTTGGCTTCTCGATGTTCTACTACAATTGTCAGAGTTTCTTCTTACATTCATTTTGGTCTTTTCTTTCTCCTCTGTCTTTTTAACAACCTTTTTCTCCTTTCATGAATGATATCTTCAATGTCATCCCTCAAAGGGTTAGTATGTTGAAAGTGCTGGAAGAAAAGTGACCAAGTTTGGGTTAATCAAGAATATTATAGCTTATCAAGAATGAAGACAAAATGAAACATTCCAGATAAACAAAAGTTGAACTCTTTTGTAACTGCTGGACCAACCAGAAATGTTAAAGGCAGTCTTTCAGATGAGTCAGAAAGGACATCAGAGAGTCACTTGCAACCTAACCTAGAAAAATTTATTTTAAAAGTAATTTCACAGGTAGGCATAAAGGCAAGTTTTACTTTTAGTTCTTACATCTTTTAGATTTCATAATGACAAATGCATTTAAAAGTATCTTCTAAGAATCAAATCCCTATGCACATCCAAAAACTTCTCCAACAGGGTAAAAAGGGAAGCCACAGACTGGGAAAAAGTATTTAGTAATGATATATCAGATAAGGGACTTATATTCAGAATTTATAAAATACTTGAGCATCACAACAAGATAAAGGTAAATAATCCAATAGAAAAAAGGGACAGGATATGAACAGACACTTCACCAAAGAAGACATTTAGATGGCCAACAAACACATGAAGAAATGTTCAAAATCCCTAGCTCTAAGAGAGATGCAAATTAAAATAACTATGAGAAATCATTTCACAGCAGTCAGAATAGCAAAGTTTAACAGAACAGCAAGCAACAAATGCTGGTGAGGTTGTGGAGAAACTGGAACCCTTATTCACTGTTGGTGGCAGTGTAAAATGGTGCAACCACTGTGGAAGGTGGAGATACCATTTGACCCAGCAATTCCACTACTGGGAATATACTCCAAAGAAACCGTAACTGCCACCGAGGCAGATATATGCACACCCATGTTTATTGCAGCTTTGTTCACAATAGCAAGGAGTTGGAAACAACCTAAGTGCCCATCAACAAACAAATGGATAGAGAAGCTGTGGTATATTCACACAATGGAATACTACGCTGCATTGAAAAACAAGGAACTCATGCAATATTATTCAAAATGGGTAACACTGGAGGACATTATGTTGAGTGAAGTATCTCAGTCACAAAAGGACAAATACTGCATGGTGCCACTGTTGTAAAACAGGACTGACATTGGGGTTGGGGGGAGCCTGAGAAAAATGGGTTCAATAATGTATACTGCATTGAAACAGATGAGGGAGAAAATTGTTTAAAAGGGATATGTGATTAGGTCTTTTTGTCATGACAGGTGTCTAGAGTGAAGGCTACATGGTGGAGTGGACCTGGGGGAGGGTTTGTAAAACAATGAAAGAATTTTTCTTTTACTTTTGCAAGAGGGTAGCGTACTAGGGGGGAAGGAGGGTTGGGAGGGGAGAAAAGTGCAACAATGAATGAATGGAAATCCAAAGTCTGTAAATTTTTACTGAAATTAATAATATATTAAAAACAGTATAAATTTATGTTGGAGGGCACAAGATGTTCAAGTATTTATTTTTGCATTTTATATAAAATACTGTTGTTGTTATTGTTGTTGTATACTGTCAAGTGGCTTTTCAGAGCCAGTATATTACACAGGAGGAGATTGCCCATCCTTCTGTGTAGCAACCTGTGAATTTGAACCATGTGCCTTTGGGATTGCTACTCAGCTTCTTACCACTAAACCAGAGCCCCCAAAGATGTAAAACAACAGTGACAAAATTAAAGAGAGATATAGGTAGTTCTACAAAATAGTTAGAGACCTCAACACACCACTTTCACGAATAATTAGAACATCTTAAAAAAGAAGATCATTAAGGAAATAGAGAATGTGAATAATCCTACAAATCAATTAGAACTAACAGATCTATGTAACACCCTCTACCCAATAATAACATAAGAACACTTGGATTATTGAATTATCCAGTGCACATGGGTTATTTCCCAGTACACAACACACCACAAAGTAAGGCTAAAAATATATAAAAATACTGGAATCATACAAAATATCTTCTCTGAGCACAGCAGCATGTGTCAGAAACCAGTAACAAGGAAAATTTGAAAATACACAAATAACAAAAGAACTATGAGATATCATCTCACCAAAGTAAGAAAAGCAAAATTTAACAGAACAGAAAACAGCAAATGCTGGTGAAGTTGTGGAGAAACTGGAACCCTTATTCACTATTGGTGGAAGTATAAACTGGTGCAACCACTATGGAAGGCAGTATGGCACTTTCTCAAAAAGTTGCAAATAGAAATACCATTTGACCCAGCAATTCCACTATTGGGAATATACCCCAAAGAAACCATAACTGTCACCCAAGCAGATATATGTACACTCATGTTTATTGTGGCTTTGCTCACAACAGCAAAGAGTTGGAAACAGCCTATGTACCCATTAACAAAGGAATGGATAGAGAAGCTGTGATATATTTACACAATGGAATACTAAGCTACATTAAAAAACAAGGAACTCACAAAATATTATTAAAAATGGGTGACCCTGGAGGACATTATGCTCAGTGAAATATCTCAATCACAAAAGGACAAATACTGCATGGTGCCACTGTTGTAAAATGGCACTGACATCAGGCTTGGGGGTCGACTGAGAAAGATGGGATAAATTATGTATTCTTCATTGAAACATATGAGGGAGAAAACTGTTTAAAAGGGATATAGGATTAGATATCATTGTCATGACAGAAGTCCAGAACGAAGGCTGTGGAGTGGAGTAGAGCGGACTTGGGGGGAGGGATTACATAACAATGAAAGAATTTTTCTTTTCATTTTCAAAGAGAAGAGCAAACTGGAGGGGAGGAGTGGGCATGGAGAAAAGTGCGACAATGACTGAATGGAAATCCAAGTCTCTGCAAATTTTCATTAAAATTAATAATAATTGTAAAAAAAGAAAGAAAATACACAACTATGTGGAAATTAAACAAAAAAATATCAGGCAAAATAAGCTTTAGAGAATGATTCCATTCACAGACATGATCCTATCCTTCTTAAACTTTTCCAAAAATTAGAAGAGGGTGAACATTTTGTAACTCATTTGACCATGAAGATTGAAACCCAGAATGTGTGAAGAAAAACCAAAAGACAAATGGCACAATGATAAGCAAAAATGGGCAAATGACTTGAACACATTTTTGTCAAGAGAAGAAATTCAAGTGGTTGACATGCACAGGAAGAAGGATCCTCAACATCATTGGTCATGCTGTTGTTGTGGTTAAGTGCCATCGAGTCGTAGGCGACTCATAGCGACCCTATGAACGAAAGTCCTCAACACCTGCATGACTTTCATCTTTTCTCCAGGTTCATAGTGTTTCTGGAGGCAAGCTATTTATGGAAGTGGATGCCACTCCTGCTTCCAAGCTTGTTTTAATCGGGGAGCTCCACCAAACACTGTCCACCATGGGTGACCGTTATTGCATTTGACACATCAGTTGTCACAGTGTTCAGCTTCACAGTGACTACGAGTTACCTCTGTACGGCAAGTGGACAGAAAAAGGCTATACAAGGGAAATACAAATCAAAAGCACAATAGGATACCCCTTAATCCTCATTAATATAGCTATTATTAAAAACAGCAATGATACAAACAGGTGGAGAAATTGGAACCATTTCCATTGCTGATGAGATTATAAAAGGGTACAGCCAGTCGATCTGAAAGTTCCTCAAGAGAACTGAATTGCCATGTGATTTACTCCTAGATGTATACCCCAAAGAATTGACAACAGGAACACAAATACTTGTACATCTATATTCATTGCACGCTGTTCACAACAGCCAAAATGTAGACATAATCTAAATGATCCTACCAGATAAATGGAGACGCAAACTGTGCTCTATGGATACCATGTTGTGAAGACAAATGAAGTCCTGACGCATGGCACAACATGCTGAAACTTGAAAGCATGTGCTTAATCAAAGAAGTCAGTTTCACAAAGAGACAAATGCTAAGTGACCTCATTCTCATTTTTTAGGGAACACTGTTGTTGGGTTTGGGTACCATTAAGTTGGAAATCTACCCACAGGTGACCCTCCAGCAGGTTTTCAGAGACAGTTAATAGCACTGGAAGGGACTGCCCATCCTTCTCCCACAAAGCAGCTGGTGGATTTGAATCACATGCCATTGAGTAGTTTCTGTTAACAGTAATGGAAACTTTGCTAATAGCTACACTAACCTTTTAAAATAAATATCAGTGCATGTGTCACTAATAAAACTCATGTACCTTTCTCTGCTGAAGAGCTAGTTCCTCATGTACATGTTAATTCAATCTTGAACTGTGTCTCAGTAGCAGCAGAGAAGCAAAGTGCCACATAAACAATTTGATATCTGGTAACCTAAAATTGAAAAAAGATGATTTTCCCCCAGACTTGAGTAAGAAGCTGCATTGCTAATCTAAAGGTATGTGGTTCAAATTCACCAGCTGCTCTGCAAGAAGAAGGTGGACAATCAATGCTAGTGCAATTTACAGCCTCTGAAAACCCACTGGAGGGTCCGCTATGGGTCAATTCTGACTTGATGGTGCAAAACAATACCAACGATTATCCAACACTGGTGAACTGATAAACTCCTATGATCCTGTACAATGAAACTGAGAGCAGCCCCTTCAGGACTGGTAATGCTGGAAAGGGTCAGGTGGAGCACTAGGCCACAGGAACTGGCCGGAGGGACTGGATTTCTACTCCGTGTTGCCCTCGCTAGGGTGTGAGGAGTGAATAGCCAACGCTTGGCACTGTAGACAGCTTCTCTGCAGTTGCCTACCATGATCACACTTTTGCAATGCATTATCTTTCTTTTCACACAGGCTCTGATTTGAAACCTGGGAATGAAGAAACATTGGAACAGCTAGAAGATCTCAAGTTAAAATTAATGCTGGGCATCTCAATGATGAGCCTCTTCCTTTTCCTGGTCCTGTTGATATTCTGCTTTGCCGTGCTGTACAAACTGAAGAAACTGTAAGTTTGCATACTTTGGGATGTATCATGCATGAGATAGATGTCCAGCTCTTTCCTTCTTCCCTTTTCTAGACTTACTAGGTAAACATGACTCACACAGTGCTCTGGAGGAAGCCGTTCACTCCTTTCCCCTCTTTACAGAGGAAAACGTAGCTTGTCTCTCAGGGGCTATCCCACTTGAAATTTTCTCTCATATTTCAAATTCTCATCTAGAGATAGAAATAATCCTAGTCAGTTGGGAAGGACAAAGAGAATCTAGATACGCTTCCTTTTAGATGGTATTAGAACAAGAGGGCTGTGAAGCATCTTCTAAATAACAAATCAGCTTCTTCCTCTCCTCCTCCTTCTTCTTCTTCTTTTCTGTCAAGTCGGAACTGACTCTTAGCTGACCCTCCAGCGGGTTTTCAGAGGCAGTTAATTGCACAGGAGGAGACTGCCCATCCTTCTCCTGTGGAGCAATTGGTGGCTTTGAATCACATGTCTTGAGGATTACAGTGCAACATCATGCCACTTGGCCTCCAGGGTTCCCTAACAAATCAGCTTAGGGCCTAGCATTTTCATTGAAACAAACCTCTTTGTTGTTGTTAGGTGTCGTTGACTATGACTCAAAACAACCCTATGAACAACATACCTGAACGTTGTTCTATCCTGTGCCATTCTCACTCTTGAGCACTTTCAAGCCCATTGCTACAGTCATTTAAAAAGAAAAAAAAAATCTCTCTCCTCTATAATTAGTCCTCAAGAACTGGCCATTACTTCTTTTATTGAAATGCGAATATGTTCAAGCATAATTAAAGGGATTGGGTTTTTTTGTAGTATATGATGTAACAAATTGCTTTCAAAGATCCAGTCATCTTAACACTGTGGTTATTAACGGAACCTTTTTGACACACTGTTTTTGATGAAGACGCCTTTCTTTGGTCCATTAAAACTATGACTCTAGCTTTGCCTCAATTTTAATTCATTGTATATGCTGTTTCCTTAACTTTTATTAAGGCAAATTATGCTGTTTTAGGGAGCTCTGGTGGCTTGCTGGTAAAGAGTTATGCTGCCAACCTAAAGGCAAATAATTCAAATCCACCAGTTGCTACATAGGAGAAAGATGGACAGTCTCCTCTGAAAAACCACTGGACGGTCAGCTATGAGTCAGTTAGGAGTCAACAGCACATAACAACAACAACATATCATTTTAGTAAATTGGTGGCTAAATTCCAGGTTTGAAACAGACTTAATTCTCATAAATATTAAAAGTAACAAAATCACTTAAAAACCCACAGGCTTTTATTGTTCAGGTACTGTTATGAAATAATGCTAATACATTGAACAGGCTTCATCTTTTGGTTTCATTTTTCTGAGTACTTTTCTAAGCTTAGTACACAATCAGTATTAATCCTGGGGAAATATTCTCTTCTTTTCCAGCACTGAAAAGGAATGCAGTATTCAATACTCTATCAACCCCCAGCATATTGAGATGGCTTACTTCCAGGCAACAGGAGGCGTATCAGACACATCTTTTCCTAAGGGTGCGGAGAGCAGTACCAGTTGGGACCACAGAAAGTCTTCAGAATTAGGCAAAAGAAGATTAAAATCTAAGAGTACTACAGATGTGACTTCCGCCACCTCGGATAACATATTTGAAACGCAACAAGTACTTGAGGACATTCGTCCTAGTCAGGACAATCTCATTTACTAAAAAGATACTTGTCATTCCTTTCCCCATAAGAAATAAAAAATTATCTCTCTTTATAACTCACATTATAGGCAGGCATATTGAGATATATTAAACTTTCTGGAGTCTTAAAAGAAGACAATATTAAGTAAGGGGCTTTACCCCACCCTCAGTTGGGTAGATTATGTAATGGGGAGGTATAGTAAATAATTTAAGGTGTGAAAAACATTTCTGGTACATTATCATGGATGGGAACTCAGGAACACGTTTGCTCTAAGTCAGTTCATTTTAAAACAAGGATGTTAGATACATATGTTAACTTGAAATATTTTGAGGAAATTCACAGTTATCACCACTGCGTCTTCTCCCACACTCACCCCCGAGGAAAAAGACATCTGTTCACATTCCAGTGACAAAACAGTGATGCTTCGGGAAGAGATGAAATGACAATGCTAGAGAGTCCTAGCATTCTTGCACGTTTAGAAAACACTGGGGCCAAAAACCTAAATAAAGTGAAAAACTATAAAATTAAATATGCTAAGAGCAAAGCTCCATCTGACATACTTTGGACATGTTACAAGGTGGGATCAGTCCTTGGAGAGGGACGTCATGCTTGGGAGGGTGGAGGGACAGCACAGGAGAGGAAGACCCTCGATGAGATGGATTGATTCTGTCACTTGGGTGATGGGGGTGGGCATGTCAAAGACAGTAAGGTTGGCACAGGATAGAGCAGGGTTTAGGGCTGTTGTACCTAAGGTCACTATGAGTCGCAGGTAACTCAACAGCACATAACAACAACAACAAGAGTGGAGTGTTAACACATTTCCATTTAGTTTCGTAATGTCAAGAATTTAAAGATTAAAAAGGAATTGATTTTAAAAAACAGAAAAACTTCAGGGCTGTTCCCCTAGAGCTCTGGTGGCCTAGTGGTAACAAGGGGTGCTGTAATCCAAAGGTGTGTGGTATGAATCCAACGAGCTGCTCCGTGGTAGAAGGATGGACAATCTCCTCCCAAGAAATTTGTTATTGTTGTTATATTATTGTTATATTGACTGTGGCTCATACAGGCCCTAGGCACAATAGTTCTGAACTCTGCCATATTCTGAGCCAATCTCACTGTTTAAGGCACACCTACCCCCATTATTCCCGTTACTGTGTCAATTCCAGTTACTGTGTCAACCCATCTCATCCAGGGTCTTCCTCTCCTGCACTGTCCCTGTATCCTTCCAAGCATGATGTCCTTTTCCAAGGACTGGTCCCTCTATGCAACATGCCCAAGGTAGATGTGAGAAAGAGCTTCAACATTCTTGCCCCCAAGGAGCAAATGACTGCCTCTGAAAGCCCACTGGAGGGTCAGCAGTGGGGCAGCTCTTACTTGACAGAACACAACAATAGAATTTTCATTATAGTTTGAAATCACAGTGTCCCAGGCAAACAGAAAGAAAGAGGGGTTTCAACATGCAATTTCTGGTCGTTGAAGGATTCATCAGTCCCTTAAGTCCTTTAAAATGGAAGGTCCCTTTTTTCGCTCAAGCATCTAGAGTTGAGGTGCTCTGTTGAAAGGAATTACAAAACTTTTTGAAAAAAGAAAATCTTGACTTACTCAATATCCATGCCAGAAGTACTTCCGTCTTCAAAGAGGACAACAAGAGGAAGGATGGTGATTTCCTATTGGTAAATTGATTCGCCTGGAAGGATGTTGTAGCCTCTCCATCCTGGTTTTTGTGGATATGGGTGGATGCTAAAGCAGGGAGGGTGGAGGTGGGGAATGCGAATGGAGATTTACAATGTAACTCATTGCTTTCCCCAAACCTCACACCATGAGCTCTTCCATTCATCCGGGGCTGAGTTTATTCTTAGCATTTTAGTCTATTATCATCACATAGACTTCTACGACTATTATCCAATGAAAAATGAGTTTATTTTATAGATTCAAGAAACAAAAACTCAGGGAAGTTTGCCTGGTACCCTGCCTACGGCCAGCCTGTTAGGAAAGGGCAGAGCTGTTTCTAAAGGAGCCTTTCTCCACCACCTGAGTTAGTAGCCAGACACCACAGAAGCCAGAGGTCATTGTCTGGGAGCAGAGCAGGCCTGGGTGCAGCAGTCCTCTAACTCAAGTGTTCTTTCAGGGTCAAGAACATGATTTTCTTTCCCTCTAGCGTGAATCTCCATGTCTTTAGGCAGCTGTGCCCTTTTTATACTCACCCATCACTTCCTCTACTTCACTCTTATCAGTGTCCTTTTATCTCTCCCCATTTTCTCCCAGACTCTGGTCTCTGCCTTTCCATTGGTTTCAAAGGCTACTAAGTCCCGCTTCTAAGTAGTATTGGAATGTATAAGATTGTTGTTGTGCACCATGGAGTCAGAACTGATCCATTGCTCACCCTTGGCCAGTTTTCAGAGGTGGTTAATATCACACGAGGAGATTGTCTATCCTCCCACAGAGAAGTTGGTGGATTCGAACTGTGTCCAGTTGGTATTACGGCAGAGTTTCTTACCACTAGACAATAGACGATGGTACCTTTAATTACAAAAGACGGGGAAGAAGCTAGCAGTACAGGTGCCCATCTTCACCAGACCCCTCCCCATCGTGCACTGTGTATGTCTGAGCCAGCTGGGTGCCCTTAAGCACTGATTAGAGCTGCCCTCTGCCTACTACTTTTGCCATTTTCCGTGTTGTTGTGTTTTTTTGTTTTGTTTTTTTTACCTCGAGCTACCCAGGGATGAGTGTCAGTATTTTGACTTACTCGTTAGTCTTGGAGAGATGCTGTGGGAGGTGGTGGGATTAGTGGGTAGACCATGCTCCAAGTGCTGGATCGCCGTACCAAGTCCACAGGCCAGAAGGACTGTGAGCGGAAGGTCAGGTGGGAAAGGATGATTGCCAATCATCCCCAGGTGCCAAACATGTTCCTCATTAGAGCAGCAAGAGCTGTTTTTTAATATCATTTGTCTTGAATGCTAAAGTAAAGGCCTGGAGAGAGAACATTAATCAATACAGGATTACCCCAGCCACTATGTCTGAAATGGCCTAAAGATGCTTCCTTAGAAAGCTGTTGTTGAGGGGCGAGTGGGGGTGTGTGTGTGTATACCAATAAAAGAATTTTACTTTTCAAAGAGAAGAGCAAACTGGGGCGGGGAGGGGTTGGCAAGGAAAAAAAGCAACAATGAATGAATGGAAATCCAAAATCTCGAAATTAAAATAAAAGAAAGAAAGCTGTTGTTTTTGTTGTTGTTAGGTGCCATAGAGTCAAGTATAACTTACAGCAGCTCGAAGGAGAGTGGATGCTTTTGAGCTGTGGTGCTGGAGAAGGGTACTGAGTGTACCCTGGACTGCCAGGAAAACAAACAGATTTATCTTGGAGAGGATTAAACCAAGCTACTCCTTGGAGGCAAGGATTCTGGGGCTTCGTCTGACATACTTTGGACATGTTGCCAGGAGGGACGGGTCCTTGAAGAGGGACATCATGCTTGGGAGGGTGGAGGGACAACGCAGGAGGGGAAGACCCTCTATGAGATGGATTGATTCGGTGACTGGGGTAATTGGGATGGGTGTGTCAGAGGCGGTGCGGTTGGCGCAGGATAGAGCAGGGTTTAGGGCTGTTGTGCATAGAGTCGCTATGAGTCGGAAACGACTCGACGGCACATAACAACAACAACACGAAGAACAGATCTGAACCCTGTCCTATCCTGGGCCATCCGCACAATCTCTGACACATCTGAGCCCATTGCTACAATCACTGCCAGTCCATCCGGTTAAAGGTCTTCCTCTTCCTTCGCCATTACCTCCACCTTTCCAAGCATGATATCTCTCTCCAAAGAAGAGCCTCTCCTAGCAACATGCCCAACACATGGGAAATGAAGCTTTATCTTATTTAGAAAGTTTATTTTATTTAGAAAGTTAGGGATAGAAGGGATAGAAATTCCATTTGATCCAGCAATCCCTCCCACAAATAGGTAGATATCTCAAAGAAGAGCGAGCCATTACACAAACATACCCACACCCAAGTTTATTCTGATATTACTTACAACGGCAAAGAACTGGAAACAGCTGAGTGTCCATCAATAGATGACTGGCTAAGGAAATTACGGTATGTCCACACAAAGTAGCACTGAAAAACAAAGATTCTTGAAATGCTTCACAGCATAGATGAATCTCGAACAAATTATGCTGAGTGATATAAGCCAGTCCCTAAAAGGCAAGGATGGTATAAAACTACCATTATAAAAAGTTAAGAATTTTTATACTCAGAAACAATCAAATTTGGAGAGATAACAAAGAATGGAGGGAGAGGGGTAGTAAAAAATAAATAGACAAGTTGAGTCAAGGGAAAGGTAATACCCAGTAAGAGATTGATTGATTGTTGTTGTGTTCCATTGGGTCAAAACCAACCCACAGCTGATCCTCCAGTGGGTTTTCAGAGGCAGTAATCACATGGGAAGAAATTACCCATCCTGCTTCCACAGAGTAGCTAGCAGATTTGAACCGTGCGCCTTTGGCATTGCAGCTCAGATTACTAAGTCTAGGCCCAGAGCCCCTTAAGAGATTGATTAGAAATGGAAATTAATTCTATTAATCAGTAGCAATTAATGTTATGAAACAAAATGTCTATAATTATATGAAAAACCAATAAGATCTGTAAATCTCCATTCAGATAATTTTTTAAAAGCCCAGATTTAAAAATAATGACCAAAGGAGACCTATCATCAGTAAAAATATGAAGGTCTTCAAACGGTCGCCACATCTTGTGGATAGCACGGCAAGAGTCCGCGGAGGGATCTGGAGGGAGCAGAGAGAATGTCTGCCACATGGTCCTTACGGAGACCTGAATGGGACCGGCTGCCTGGGCTGTGTGTCTGCTCCTTACTGATACTCATTTCCCTTCTTTACGTACAGAGACAGTGATAGATACATCCAGGCTGCCAGGGAACGGTCTTCTCATTTGTCCAATGTTTAATTTGTCCACAGCAAAACAACCATGGCTGGATTTATTATTACACAATGGTTAAAACCTGCGTTTCTTAAACACGTTCTCCGGACCAGTGTTCCTATGAGAGTCAGAACACAGTTTCTCTTCACCTGCCATCATCCTACAACTCCATCTGATTTTCTTCTCCTTGTGTTCATCTCCAAAACCCACGGGAAGACTCGAACTTGCGAAGAGTTGTACTCGGGTCTACACACCTAACAACAACGACACTCCCAACATCAGGGAGAGTGATCTAAAGGCACGGAGAGCAGGAGTACTAAGAGCTCTTCTTCCTTTCTCAAAGATGCATGAGCACCACTGGTAAGATGCAGAGAAGGAGACCTGAAAAGATCACATTCCATATGAGACGCCTTCTGTGCTGCTGGAGTCCAGGGTGGGGGACCTGTCCGTAGACGGCATGGTAGGAGACACATATGCACGGTCTTGCGTGGTCCTACCCTCTCTGTCACTCCACTTCAAAGGAATGAGTGGGACAAAATGGGGCCAGGATTGCCCAGTTGGGGGGACGAAGGTTGCATGGGTACTGAACGTGAGGGCTTGGTTAATTGTGATAGGGGCTGGGAACAACTACAGATCAAAAGGAAGTAAATCCAATCATCTCAATTGTTAGAATAATATATTTGAAGGGTGTTGCAAACCGACGCAGAAAGAAAGTAGGGACACGGGGAAATGAATTCTAAAAAAGAGGGAAGGCTGAGACAGAGGTCCTCTCACAGCTTAGTTCTGTGAAAAGGCCCCTTTCTTAGTCTCCCTATGGTTTTTATTTCATTTAGGCCAATCCTCAAAAAAAATTCAATCTCTGGAGACTATATTTTCCTTACACTTAAGTGTCGCCAACATAACAATAGGTAAGCTTAATCTTTAAGACCAATGAAAGTTCAGACACCGCATCCCCTCGGGTGGGAGGCTGGACAGAATTCTCTGTTTGCAAAGGGTGCTCCATCCTGTCTGGACTCTGATCTCAGCTGTGGCCGGCCGTTACTATGGCAGGAAATCCACAGAAGGATGCAGCACACTTGAAAATTATTACTCCAAATTTAACTGCCAGTGGAGTTAAAGAAATAAATAAACTATAGCATGGAAGAAAAATATAATCAGACTTCTGTGGTAGTGACAACCCCCTCACTCCCCTCCACTTTTCCCCTCCTGAGCCATGGCAAACAACAAAGTATGTTTCTAGTCGGCTATCAGAGATTTAAGTCCTTAAAATTTGACTGTAAAAGAACTGTGGGTCCTAGCATGGACTGCTAAGAGAACAGCCAGCAAACAGGTCCTTCTTGGAGAGGGTGAAACCAGGCTGCTCCTTACGGGCAAGGATTCTAAAGCTATGTATGACATACTTTGGGCATGTTGCAAGGAGAGACCAGTCCTTGGAGAGGGACATCATGCCTGGGAGGGTGAAGGGACAGCGCAAGAAATGAAGACCCTCGATGAAATGGATTGATTCAGTGACTGTGGTAATAGAGGTGGGTGTGTCAGAGATGATGTAGTTGGATCAAGATAGAGCAGGTTTCAGAGCTGTTGTTCATAGGGTGGCTATGAGTCAGAGTCGACCTCATGGCACTTAACAACAAAAATAGGATAATTCTCAGTCTTGTGCTTGTTTTGCTTCTATGCCCCCTCCACTTCCTCAAATCCAACAACAGAGAAAATGAGGGACCTTACTGACAATGTTGAGACTTACTGAATGAAGACGTTTTACTTCTTTTGCTAATGGACAGAGGAGACTTCTTGGTGTGTAAGACTACATACATTACATTCAGCTGTTTAAATGGTTTCCAGATTGTCTGGTGGCCTAGTGCACTCCCAAAGGCACTTGGTTCAAATCCAACAGCTGCTCCACGGGAGGAGGATGGGCAATCTCCTGTGCAATTAACTGCCTCTGAAAACCCGCTGGAAGGTCAGCTCTGGGTTGGTTCTGACTCAATGGTACACAACAACAACAACAACAATGGTAAAGTGAATAGTTGTATCCAAAATGTGTTGTCTAATACCCTTGAATAATTTTCCTTTTTAGTGGTGTATTTGCCTGACTTTGGCAACAGGTTAGTTATCCTCGCTTCATTTTTTCCTACGTGCTGAAGTTGTTTGGGTACAGTTATTATCAGCTTTTCTCTGAGAATGTGGTAGAATTCAGAGAAGACACGTGGGCAGGACTCTTGGTTACCTGCTTGTTTTTCTTTGGTGATGAGTCTGTTTAAATGTTCTACCTTTGCCTATGATGGTTTAGGTATGTGGGGAGTTTCTAATATTTTCTCTAGGTCTTCAAGTTTGTTGGAGTCAAGTTCTTCCTGGTATTCTGTTACTGTCCTTTTGTATTTCAGCTGGTTCTGATGCCACATCACTATTTTCATTCCTTATTCATATTATTTGCACTTTTGTTTGAGTACTTATTGTCTTCTTATCCACCAGGGGGCACAAGTGGGCAATCAGGAAATTGGTTTGTATTTATAAGCCCTTTCTAGTGCCTTTCTCCTGTTTCCCACCACGCCCTCTCCCCACCGTTATCTAACTGGCTCATTAAATGCAGGTGCATTGTCATTGCATTCTTTTAATTTCCTGAAAGTAATCTGAGTCTCCTGTAATTTCTACTATAACCGCTGAAGTTCTTTTATGATGTGTCAAGTTGAAGAAGCAATGCAGTGAGAAATATTCCTCAAGTTATTAAATAGAAGCAACTGATGTTTAATACAGACTACACTTCTTTGTTTTAGTTTCCACATTATTTGCGCTTGACACATACTGACAGCAGAGCTTTCCATGTTGTGTAAAAGAATAAATCCACTGCTTCTTTGAGTCCAATCTTTGTTTAGTGGCCGCATACCTTAAGCACTACACCACCAGGCTTAAGTCTCCAATCTCTCTCTCTCTCTCTCTCATTGCCCTGGAGTTGGAACTGACCCATAGCTGACCCTCCAGGGCTCTTAAGAGGCTGTACGTCGCACAGGAGGGACTGCTCGGCTTTCTCTTGCAGAGCCGCTGCTGAGTTTGAATCTGCTTTGAGTTGGCCCCCCAACTCTTCACCACTAGAATGACCAAGATTTATTGATTGAAATTCATGGAAAACTCAAGTTCATTGCCATTGAGTCAAAACTGCCTCATAGCTGACCCCCCCTCTGGGTTTCGGAGGCTCTAAATCACACAGGAGGAGATTGTCTGTCTTTCAAGCCTGGAACTGTTTATGGATTCAATCTCCCAGAGAGGACTGATTGAGGGGTGAGCTGCACAGCTTCCGAGGGACATCATCACCTGATTTCCCTATTAGACATACTTCATGCAAGAGTTGTGCAAGATATGTTGGCCTGGGCTAATATAAAGTTCTGACCTCTTTAGCAAATCAGTGGAACTAACTTTTTCCCTACTTAGAATTGGTTCATGACATCTTTTAATCTCTCATTTTAAGTCCTTATGGTAAGATTGTTCTTGCTGTTGTTGTGTGCCCTCAGTCAGAACTGACACATAGCTGACCCCTAGTGGGGTTTCAGAGGCAGTGAATTGCACAGGAAGAGACTGCCCAGCCTTCTCTCATGGATGAACTGGAGGATTCGAACCATGGCCCTTTGGGATTTCACACAGCTTCTTACTTTCATTGTATTGTAGAGTTCTGTTTTGGGTTAGCAAACAAAACTAATTCTGTGTCTCAGGAGAAAAGATCTCATATCGTTTAGACATGTCTGGAAATAGTAAGGGCAAGATAATCAGATTTGGAACAAAATGAGGGTGATAAGTAAGCTTACTGTGATGAACTAGCTTTGCATAATTGTTACCTTAAAGAGGAAAGTGAATTTGATCATATGTAATTATATGTTTATTAAATTCTTTAATTATGAAGAGCCAGTCATATACTGTGGATATTTTAAGACCATATAAACCTGGTAAAAAAGAAATAAACATTTACTTAGGCAATGTTTGTATTCAATTTTGAGCTTTTTAAAAATTTACTTCTCAGATTTATTATGCATTCATATCACTTGAGAATCATGATAAAAAGCCTGGCAGGGGCCACAGACTTTGGATTTCTAACAAGTTCCCAGGAGCAAGATGCTTTTCTAAGAGGAGTTACTTTGAATTTGGCTGTAATTTAAAGAAAACCAAATAGTAGTGCTTTCCTCTAAGGAAACTCAGAACGATATGTGTCAATATCAAAAGAAGTATTTCCAGAGTCTTACTGTACTTCTCATAAAGAGGTACCTTTCCTTTTACAAATGAATTTCCCAGAGAATGTCTAACAAATCTGCTCAAGCTTTTAATAAGAAATTAGGGAAATTGTGGGTTTTGTTTAATCCAGAACAGATGCTTGAACTTTTAAAAAAATTTATTTTATTCATTTTAATGAACATTTACAGAGATTTTGGATTTCCATTCATTCATTGTTGCACTTTTTTCTCTTACCCACCCCCCCACCCCAGTTTGTTCCTCTCTTTGAAAAGCAAAAGATGCTTGAACTTTTAATCCAGGAGATCCTTGCACTTTACCTGTTCTGTTACTGTGGAAATTCAGCCCAGTATGTAAGCGTCTGTAGTTTCTCTGACTCAAGAGTCAACATGATTTGGAAGCAGAAGACCAGCTGTGTGATGAAACCATGCGAGTTCCCTTGTCTGAACTTCAGTTTCTTGTAAACGTGAGGTCAGTATTCTTACCTGGGTTAACGTGAAGTTTCAATCAAAGTCTGTAGAGGTGTCTCTGGTCATTTCAATGTTGTTATGTGCCATCGAGTCGTTTGTGACTCATAGTGATCCTATGTACAAGAGCCCTAAACGCCATTCTATCCTGTGCCAACCTCGCTGTCTCAAACACACTCATTTCTACCACTCTAGCCACAGAATTGATCCATCTCATCAAGGGTCTTCCTCTCCTGCACCATCCCTCCACTCTCCCAAATATGATGTCCCTCTCCAAGGACCAGTCCCTCCTTGCAACATGCCCAAAGTATGTCAGATGAAGCTTCAGAATCCTTGACTCCAGGGAACATTCTGGCTTTACTTTCTCCAGGACAAACCTGTTTGTTCTCCTAGCAGTCCATGGTATATTCAACACTCTTCTCCAGCACCACAACTCAAAGGCATCAATTCTCTTTCTATCATCCCTATTCACTGTCCAACTCTCAGATGCATAGCATGTAATTGTGAAGACTATAGCCTGCATCAGGCGCACCCTTAGTCTCCAGCCTGATGTCATTGCTCTTCAGTACTCTTGAGAATATAATATATATATATATATATTATATACAAATCTATTTTATTTGACCTTCCATTTCTGTTGCCATTTAGTTGATTCCATAAATTATATTCCAGAAGCCTTACTTTTCTGCTTTCCATCTCTACTTAAACATCCTTTGTGAATAAGAAGAATTTAAGATGAATTCTTCGTTTGTCTAAGGGTGACTCCTGTTTGCTCTTTGGAGACAAGGATTTTGAAGCTTCATCTCACATCCTTTGGGGACCTTGTTAGGAGGGGCTAATCCCTGGAGAAGGACATCATGCTCAGAAGGGTGGAGTATCAGCACAGGAGAGGAACCCTCCAGATGATATGGATTGACACAGAGACCGGCAATGAGCAGGTGTGTCAGGGACAGTTGGTTCAGGACAGGGCAGGCTTCAGAGCCATTGTTCATAGGGTCACGGTGAGTCATAGTCAAGTGGGCACACAACAACATAAGACACACTTCTGGACAAAAAGTGAACAGGAAAGACATTTATTCACTTATTACACGATCAGTGCAACATGCTCTTACAGTATAAATGGTAAACTCACAGAAGTCGAAGGCTGAAACCTTTTACATATGTGCAATACACGCAGGGATTTTCATTTAACACAGTCAATGCTACCTCTCTCCTGCTTTTATTATTTCCTAACATGCATAAATCAATGCAACCAGAGAAACCATAACTAAATCCCTTTGACTTATTAGACTTATTTTGGCTGCTCTGAGGGTTTTTAGGATTCTGAGAAACAAGCTTTACATCTAGTTTTCTGGACTGCCTCATGAGCTTGTAAACACATTACCAAGTTGCTGAGTAGATGCAATCGAGTGGATTCAGGTGGTCTCCTTCAGGTCGAAGAGAAAATTTAGAGATGGAGGACTCTCCTGTGGTCTATCAGAACTCATGCATTTCTACTACTTTTCTCTCCTGTGCCATCAAGAAATTATTAGGTTTATTAACAATATTCCACTTCTACATAGAAAAACAGTATAGCATTCGGTATAAAAGTAAATATAAAAATATCTAGAACAAAAATGAGTTATGCGTTACAGGAATTGTATTCTCACACCTTCCTTATGAGTCCACATTTTTTTAGAAAAATATATTATTGCATACGAGACCATAAACAGGCATTCTTGTTTCTGCACATTCTTACCCCAAGTGGTATATATACAGTCTTATTAGAGTTAGAGGGGCTACATATCCACACGGGGGTTTGTGGTGAGGGTCCCAGACATACAGCGATCTATGTACACGTCCGTATTCTGTATCACGTCTCCTAGGCAGTGGTTTGCTTGTGTTCTCGGCATATAGCGAGGGTCTCTCGTGCCGGTGAGGGGAAAGGCATGCAGAACCTCTGTCCTTAGGCCGCTTCCTCGGCAGAGCAGTCGATTCCCGCATAGGCGAACTTCTCATAAAGCGTGGTGTTCACATAGGTCTGGAAGAACAAGAAGGCTTCAGAGATACAGCCTGACTAGTATTGACACTGCCAGAGGCAGCAGCAGTCATAGCCTGGGCTTCCTGGCTTGGTTCCACTCATACGCTAGGAACTTTTTCTATTTCTATCCTTACTTCCTCTATTGTATTTGCCCACTAGCTTCCTGAATTGCATCCTTTGGTTTCTGGGTATAAAATGTCACCCTCTCCCTCTCCTAAGTTGTTCCTCTTCTCTTTCTGTCTCTTATTGGGGCTCCCTTCAATGTTCCAGTTCTCCAAGACTCCTTTCTCTGTCTATTTCTTACCTTTACATGTTTGATTTCACCTTTGAGTTCTGACAACTCTCATGATATGTTTTCTCAGCTCAGACTTGTCATTCAAGTCTCAGATGAGTATAATCAACATCTTCCAGATATTTTATCAAGTCTCTGGCCTCCTGCCTAGTAACCTGCTTAGACCAGGCTCTGTTGCTTACTTCCTATGTGGCCTTGGGCCCAACACTTTCACTTCTCTGCACCTGTTTCTTCATCTACGCAATTAGAAGATGAGGCTATATGACTGAGAAAACCCTTCTAAGTCTGATGAGTTCATGTTACTCTAGCATGTGACTGCCTTACATAGGCATTTCCTTTAATCCCAAGTTATGATTTAACCTCAAAGTTGGGGACCACACATTTTTTAACTTCTTTATAATAAAGAAACAAGCAAAAATAAACCCCTCAAGCCCATTGTTATTAACTGACTCCAATTTGTAGTTTCCAGAATTGTCCCATGGTTTCCAAGCTTACAATCTTTATGGAAGCACACCACCACATCTTTCTTCCATTATCCATGAAGCAGCTAATGATTTCAAACTGCCAGCCTTTCGGTTTGCAGACGCACTTAATCACTGCACCACCAGGACTCTTTTGGCTCTATACAGTTCTCTTTGGCTGTACCCTGAAGAACTTTTGGATAGTACCAACTACATTTTAATTAGCTAATTGAGCTAATTCACATCAGAAATTCTAACTAAAGAAATCCGACTTTGAACTCTATACTCACCTTTCGTTCTTCCAGCATTCTGTTTAACGACACCAATATCTGAGCAAATGATGGCCTCTCATAAGGCTTCTCCCGCCAGCACTGTCTCATCAGGTCATAACTTCAAAAAGAAAGAGTTAAAGGTTTAATATAATGATCATTCTTCAATCATGCGCAGGGCAGGAAAAAAAGGTAAGAGACATAACCACTCAGTTCATGGTCATTAGGCATGGTCGAAGACAAAAATACAATTCCCAGAAGTTTGTATCAGTCCTTCCTGTCTCCATTCCAGTTCTCTTCACGTGCTGATTGTTCTAGTGCTGTGCTATCTTCTCAGGATCCTACCTTGACTATTCTGATCACTCAGAGAGAACTGGGTTCTACATCCAGGGCACTCTCCATAGATCTCTCCAAAAGGAGTTTTCTTTTTTGAAAAAGAAAAATTACTCCATGCTCAAATACATTTGTAAAATGTTACCTCTTGTATCTTTCTGCTCCCTAAGCAGATAAAAAGTTTTGAAAAATCTTCCCATTAAAAAAAAGTGAGCAAAAGCATAAAATGTTACAATATTATCCAGGCTTACATAACATATCCTAAACTAAATCACAGAATGCCTTTCTATTAGACATCTTTCATCTGCATCTTTAAGACACTATTATTCCAGGGAACATAGTTTGGGCAACACTGGTCTAAGGCAGTGCTTTCTCAAAAGTAGTCACCATGACCAGTATTATTAAAATGCAGATTACTGAGATGCACCCTAGACTCAGAAATGTCTGCAAGACTCAAGCATTCATATATTGAAAAAGTGTCTTGGGAGAAACACACACACTCAGAAGGCTGTCGGTAGCTGGTCAAGAGTGATAGATACCAGAACTATTTGTACTTGGCCCAAAGCTTTTTAATAAGTGAAAGATATTCCCAATCTTAGCTGAGCAAATGCCAAAACTGGAATTTTAGGGGCTGTGTCCAGTGATGCTCTTGGAATTCCCAGGTTTACCCAACACTATTTAATTGTATGGGTTTTTTGCTAGTGATATTACTGTTAGAAACTCTTTCTTGCTTAGATTTAACCCAATTAGGAAAAGAACGCACTTGTTCAATTTATGTGTAAGAGGCTATTTCGTGGTAAAGCCTTGCATTCCTTAAACCATACAGTTGGACAGATTCACCATGGCTAGTTCTAGAAAAGGTGGTATTATCAAAATATATCTATACACTTATATTTTTTACCACTGAAAAATTAATTTTCTGCAGAAGCACAGATTCCATGAAGAAAAATCTACCTCCATTCAAAGTTCATTTTAAGATTTTATATATTTATGCATTCATGAAAAATTTCATGAATATATTCCAGATCTATGGTAGAATGTAGAAATTATAAAACAATATCATTAATATCACATGCAAGAAAAATTATGCTGAGATTAATTTTAATAACATTTACAACAGTACATCAATAAAGAAACTGCAGAAATTCAAGTTGGATTGAGGAAAGGCCCTGGAAAAAGGGACATTATTGTTCATATCAGATGGATCTTGTTTGAAAACATAGAATACCTGAGAGATGGTTATCTGTGTTTTATTGATTAGGCAAAGGTATCTGATTCTGTGGATCATAATAAATCATGGATAACATTGAGAAGAATGGGAATTCCAGAACACTTAATTGTGCTTGTGTGAAACCTGTCCACGGACTGAGAACAGAAAAAGAAAATGTGCAATTGTTTGGAATCAAGAAAAGCATGCATCCTTTTGCTACACGTATAAAACCAGTAGTGAGCAAGTACCTATAAAGGGGATTATTTGAAAAATAACATGTCATTGGGATTAGAGGAAAAATCATTAGCAAGTGATGATGTATGGCTAACTAACACAGCCTTGCTTGCTGAAAATGAAACAGATTTGAAGTATGTCCTGAAGATCAAAGATCCTTCAGTATGGAATACACCTAGAGCAAAATCCTCAGAACTGGACCAATTAGGAATATCATTATAAATGGAGAAAATATGTTGATTATTTCATTTTACTTAGACCCACAACTAATGCCATGGGAAAAAAAGTCAAGAAATAAAATGACAATCTGCTTAAATTTTCCTTACAGTATGAAAAAGCATAGATGTCACTTTACGGACTAAAATGCTCCTGGCCCAAGAGATGGCATCTTGAATTGCCTCATACGTATGTGCAAACTGGACAATGAGTGAGGAAGATGGAAGAAGTGACGGATTTGAATCTTGGTGCTAGTACAGAGTATTGACCACACCAGGCACTGTCGGCTCTGGGACAAACACATCTGTCCTTTGAGCCACGCAGGGGGTTAAGAGAAAAATGACCCCAAGGTGAGGCCTGACTTACACCTCGTCATCACAGTTTAGGGGTTTCTCCAGCCTGTAGCCCTGGGGCAACTTCTCATAGAGCTCTGCACACGTCATCCCGCAGTAAGGGGTGCCACCTGAAAGAGAGGAGAGGGTCACTTCATCGCGTGGGGTGCTGAAGACAGTACACTGCCTCCTGCACAGGGTTTCTACAGCCAAGAGGCTGGAGGAAAAATAAAGTCTGTTAGAGAACGTGAGCACTCCGCACAAGGCCGCTGCCCTTCCCACATCCCTGTTTTATCAAAGGTGGACTCAGGCCACCCAGCACACTCAAATGTGAGCATCCCACAGTCGGTGGGACGAGCCACCACAGGGCTGACTACTGTATTTCAGAGCGTGCCGTTTCTCTTCCCCGAGGTCTACCTCCACACAGCATGCACAGTGTATCAACATTTTTTTTTTCTCTAATTGAAAGCCTATAGTAATGTTACACAATTCCTATTTTATTTATATTACTAAATTTCAACTATTGTTGATTGTTGTCAAGTTGAGCACGACTCATAGGGACCCTATGAACAAAAGGCCTGAAGCCTTTCGGCAACTACCATTGCTTATTAAAGTTCATAGAGTTTTCGGAGGCACGTTGTTTAGGATGTGGATAATACACTTTAATTGTAGAAAATTTTTTAAAAAGCAAATACCAGTGAAGAAAAAAAGTACAATAATGTTTACTTCTTTTCTATTTACCCTCTTCCAGGTTTTGTTGCCTACATCATGTTCATGAAACGAGGACCATGTCGTTGTTGCCGTGTGCCATCATGTTGGAACTCACTCACTGCTAACCTCTAGTGTGTTTTCAGAGGCAGTAAATTGCACAGGAGGAGATTGTTCATCCTTCTCCCACGGAGCAGCTTGTGGATTCCAACCACATACCTTTGAGATTGCAGCAAAGTTTCTTACCACTAGGCTATCAGAGCTTCCTGGGACTATATATGATGATTTTTTTTTTAATGTCTTTTGGCCTGAACATTTTTACATGCCATTAAATGAGTTTTGAAAGCGACTTTTAAATATTATAATGTACCCTTAAATCAGAACAAACCCATGGTTGACCCTGTAGTGTGTTTTCAGAGGCAGTAACTTGCACAGGAAGAGAATGCCCATCTTTCTCCCATAGAGCAGTTGGAAGGTAGATTTGAACTTCATACCTTTGGGTTGGCAGTACAACTCTATCACTAAGCCAATGTTCCAACTGTAGAAATAAATGTGTTATGGACCTACTGTATCTTTGCACAAATAACAAAAACAGCCCCAATGCTGTTGAGTCAACTCTAGCTCACAGTGACCCTGGTAGTCAGAACAGAACTGTCCCAGAGGGTCTCCAAGGCTGTAAATCTTTATGGAATCTGACTGTCATATTTTCTCCCAAAAAAGTTGGCTGGTTAATTTGAACATCCCACCTTTTGGTTAGTATTTTAACTACTGAGCTACCAAGGCTTCTTTTTTGCCCAAGTAGGAACAATAAATCTACACACGACATTCATGGCTATCATATTGTTAATATTAAACATGGCATTAGATGCATGGCTCTTAAGGAGAGAGACATAAGAATGCACACACACACACACACACACACACACACGTAAACCCAAGTTTCTCTTTCCAAGTGACATCTGATAACACACGTATAAGTGGCACCCTGTGGATTCGCACAGTGAGGGAGTGCTGCAAGGACTACTCCGTTTTTCTAGAGGATCAGCGGTGGGTAAATACAGATACTCACCTAAGCTAACAATCTCCCACAGCAGCACACCGTAGGACCATCTGCAGAAGAGACAAGAGCAACACGAGAAATTAGTGAACTGAATGGCCAGTCCACATCCAAAGAGATCAACTTCTGGTCCTAAAAGGTCACATCAAATTTCTGCTTCTAGTCTAATGCCTTACACATAGCATTTGGGCCCGGCTGCTCCAGCTAAGGGAGGATTGCAACAGGGGAGAATGTTAGCTTTGCCAGAGGCCCTACCTCCCTGTAGGTGAAGGCAAGGTGACAGGCACTGTGGAGAAAATGCAAAGCCAGACAGTTTTGAACTAAACTTCCCACCTAATACTCTGAAGACAAATTAATGATACACTTTGGGACCTCCTCTTTAAGTGGAGGTAACAATTTGTGCCTCAAAATTTTGCAGAAAAATTAATAAACAGATAAAAGTCACATATTAAGTTGGGTGAAGGGAAAGGCAATATACAGTAAGAGGTTGATCAGATGTCATGAATAATATTCATTTTACAACAGCAACAATTATAATTAATGCCATACCACAAAATAGATGTGAATGATTCAAGGGGTGGGGCATCAATGTTTATAAACTTTCACTCAAATCACAATTAAAAAAACAAAAATAAACTTTAAAAATGTTTTACAAGACTCAGAGTTGTGACATAATAGTTGACCATCCTTTCCCCATCACCAGCATAAATAATACTCTGAAGAAATCATCTCAATCCTTAGTTTTTCTCCTGAAAATAAAGTTATATTTCTGACCCTTTCTCCTTTCACTAGCCTGGGATTTGCCACTGCAGGACACCAGCAGAAATGGTCCAGATCCCCACCCCTCCGCCATCCCCATCTAGACACCCAGCTGCTACCCCAGGCCACCCTTCTGAAGAAGGTCCTACCCACCAGGGTCAGCCGGGGAAGCAGCTTTTACAACTTGAAGTCTCTCCCCACCAGGCAGCAGGAAATCCAGAAACAGGTGCCAGTGATGTTCACAACTTGGAAATTATTTACTCTGTGTTTTCATTTCTCTCCTAGGTTCATTGATTGGTTTTATTCTAAAAGATACATAATATTCCTGCCTCCCTATATGACTTCTGAAAAATGTACAGTTTCCTGGGGAAAGGAAATGCTTCGATGACCAGAGGTGTACTCACACATCACTGTTGGTTGTGTACACGCTGTAGTTCAGTGATTCAATGGCCATCCAGCGCACTGGGAGCCTTCCCTGCAGAGGACAAAGCGAGATGCCACTGTCTCAGGCAGTCCAGACCCTTTACAAGGTTCATCTTGCCACGTGGAAGGTCTCTACTTAGAATTCCACAGATTTAGCCATGATCAACAGCAACTGTCATTCAGTGGATGTCCACCAACAAATGGGTTTTCAAATTCAAGGTGATGTAAGGTTGCCATTTGGCCCTCAGGTGGTCCATACAGCAAGGCAATTTGAAGAAAACTGAAAATATCAATGTGTGTGCCAAGTGTAGTCACTCACTTTGTGGCTTTCAGTGGCACTCAGTTGTTGGAAAAGTAGAGACATGCTGAGAGACTCAGAATTAAACTGAAATACGTGAAAGGCTAATGGGATCGGCAAGGTGGAGTGAGACCAACTGTCCCTTAAGAGATAAGAAGCATTTTTAGGGGAGGAACTGTAACATGTATCGTCTATCTGATAGATGAGGCAGAAAAGAACAATCAGTGTACAAGGAAAAGTGTGTGTGGTTACACATTAAAGGAGGTTCAAATGATACACAGCCAGTGAAATGTAAATGGAGTCTGAGGATAGAACTAGAGATCACTTAGGCAACGAGGAGGTAAAATTATCCCTCTATGCTGATGACATGATAGTATACTTAGAAAACCCTAAAGACTCAGCAAGAAAACTATTGGACATA